CGCGTATAATTTTTTTGCATATGATGAATATATAGTTTTCTTTTTGGATTTGCTTCCATAGACTTTGTCCAACCAAGAACAAACTACAAGGCAGCAGTTGTTTGATTTTGGAGTTGTCTCTCCTAGATTTGGTTAAGGAAGTACGAAATTTTAGCCTTAAACTACATAAAAGAAAATCGCTCTGTGTACTTTGTCATTTGTCTTGGTAAGAAAGAAAATAAATTAAGCAGGCACTCTTTTATGATGAAACCATAGTTTTCATCAATAAACATCCAACATTAAAAAAAAACCTGCAGACAAAACGTGCCTGAATAAACATCAAGGTAACCAATTTGACCTATAACCTGCTCAATTACAGAAACCCATGCAAAAATGATAAAGATCATTAGCGTGTCTAGACATCAAATAGTCGTCTAGAGTTGATGGATGTATACAAAGTCGAATCCTTAGTTGTATCGATACCTATATGCTGTATACTATAAGCATATCTTTACATGGATTGTATTCAAATACCATGGCAAATTCCTATTTTAGTCGTCAATTTTAAAAAACCGCATGCGTATGCATGATTTCGATACTTGATCCTGCTTTCAGTTTTTTTAAAGAAGAACGTAAATTTCTGTTTTGAGTTACAAGACAAAACTTGAAGTGTAATAAAGTTGACTACTTTTTTAAAAGCTGCATACTGAAATACATGATTCCAACTTTCTTTTTAAATAGTTTTATTTGTGTGAAGAAACTTTGTTCATACGAGTAGTTTCGTATCTAAGTGTACTAACACAACAAGTGGAATTCAGTTCCTCGTTCTTGTGACTAGGCTCAACAAAGCTGTCTGAAGGAAACAATAGTCTTTTATACGCCCACATTAATTATTGACTGTTAGAATCTTTACGAAATGCTATTCCTATAAATAACATTTTTAAACTTCGGGTTAACAAACATACACACATACAAAAAGATAAACACCCTCGCACACACACACATAAATACACACGCACACACACACACACATATATATATATATATATATATATATATATATATATATATATATATATATATATATATATATATATATATATATATATACATACATATGTGTGTGTGTATTTATACATTCATATAATTATATGCGTTCATGCATACATTGTGTTTGTGTGTTTTGTGAGTAATTGTTTGTACGTGTACCTATTCGTGCGTGAAAGAATGTGTATGTGTGTATTCTTTATTGCATTATAAGTTGGCACCATTTGCGATAGGTGTAAACTAATTAAAACACACCACGAGTAGACAGGAGGTAATTAATACATCGATGGTCTCAGCAATCACACATTCTTGAATGAGGTTGTGATGAAATAATATCTTGTCAGTCAGCCTTCAGTAGTTAAATTGGTAGACTAATTAAAAACACAGATTTTTAAAAAAATGTCTACTTTATCAACTTTATAAATGTCTTCTAAAGTATAATAACATACACGTCTTAATTTTAAATCTTTTTTTTTTAGCTTACGATTCTTAGTTGTCTAATCGATACCACAACCCCCTTTCCCAACCTTACCAAATGTTTTGTATCTATAACATGATAGAAACAGCCATTGTGTATACCGTTCTGTGATACCTTTTCACCCAAAAACCTGCCCAAACTGAATCCTTCCCTAACTTCGCTTCCTGTACATTAAAGAAGAGTTAGTCTGGGTGCCAACCAGAAACACGCTAGGCTAGACACTACAGGATTTAGCTAAAAGCTTAAATTTAAATATGTATATTTATCTCAAATCCAGAACCTATAAAAAGTTAAAAACCCGCGGTCTAATGAATTTTAAGCCATAAATCTTAATCTTAAGCCAGTGACGTTGCATAATGTGCATTAATTGTCTGGTGGAGTTTAAAATCTTCAAATTTGCTATGTAATACAAGACTTGGATTTTTAAATCTTTCGTTACGACTTAGAAGGGAATATATTTTTTAAATATACCGGATTAAGGTAAGTGCGGTGTTGATCGGTAGTTTTTTTTTAAAATCTTTTTAAAAAGGTGTACAGGGGACGCGTCGGTGTGCGTGGATGAGGTGGTTAAGTGGTTAGTTCACGAGACGTGTGATATCTGAGAACATCACCATGGCAACGATTAAAGAGTCTTACGCATTTCTCGTAGTTTAAAGAGAGCTGTCTCGCTTACCGCCGGGGCAATGTGCTAGTTGTTTCTATCATCTCGTCTTGTAATGGAAACCCGGATGAAATTCTGGAACAAACTGAACTCAGGTTTGTTTAAGTCTGGTGGCCTAGTTCACAGCCGGAAGAGGGGGTGGTAGGAGGGGGAGGGTGTTGGCTTCTGTGATGATATTCTACATAAGGAGGTGTGGTGAGTAAGACATGGAAAGTAGGAAATTAATAAAAAATTGAAACTTCTTTTTTTTCTGCGTTCTTAATTGTAACGTTGAAAGGGGTTTCTTCCAACACGATTAAATATTACGCGTCAAATTGTTATGCGCCATATAGGCCGTTGACTCAATTTCAGGCTGCTTTTCTTTTGGGATTTACTTCCCTCGCCTTTGTCCGACCAAGAAGAAGCTAGTACAAGGCACCTGTTATTTGATTTTGGAGTTGTCTCTCCTAGAAGAGTTGCTGTCCCCTGCTATCGCGCCTCATCTGCCCGAGGGTTTGAACTCGAGACTTTTCGGTTTAGCTACCATGAGCTTTACCTTCTCGACCACAAAGTGTATTTCTGTGTCCACCCTCTAGACTACATCGATCCATTATTACATGGGGCCAAAACTGACAACCTCGTATGTCAGAGTTTCTTTCTGGCATCTCTGCGAAAATAAAATAAAAAGAAAATATATAATTTAAACACTCTCCCCCTTCCACCCGGAAGTTTCAAGTGCCTTTTGGAGAAAAATGTATCAAAGAAACCCTGATATCAATGAACTCTGAGATGAAAAATATTTGAACACTGTACCCCCCGTATTACCCCCTTGACGATACATACCTAGTTTTAAATGAAGCAAAAACATTAAAAGGCAAGCTCGTATATCAATTAACTCTGGAAAAGTAGATTTTTTTTTCATGATTCATCCATTAGCTGACCAGCCGGATTAAGTAGTGTTAAATTACTGGCTAGGCTTTAGACTTGCATTGGTTGTCTGTTCTTGAAAACCAACAAAAGTGCCATCGAATGAGACGAGAAACAACTGTTTAAAATGTTTTCTCAAAATTTACCGCGTTTTTACCCATTAAAATATAAATTAAATACATTTTTGTATTTATGCCCTAAACAGTTTTGCTAGAATGGTCTATTTCAATTATTCATTTAGTTTTTTTTTATATTTCATGTTGATACAATCTTTTATTTAACTTGAAACCTCATGCGGGCTCTGCCTCTCATAAAAAACACAACTTACTAACGAAATGCTAGTAAACAGGATGATTTTTGTGTGTTAATTTTGAATCGCTTGGATTTTTGAGGCGTTGGTAAGAAAGGTCCCTACATAATACGACAGTTGCTTTAAAATAAATATTCCACGTAGAACTTTTTAACGAAACCTTGACATGTCCATGTTACATACAGTTAAACCCACTATGTCTGTTAGTTTTACAATCCCTGCAAGTATTTCATACACTCTCTTAAATATCACCTACACTTTTGTTAGTAGCGATTCCTCTCCCTATAAGAATCAGCTATACTCCCAGAAAATATTACTTACGTTCCTCTAAGCTAAATGAGACAATATAGTATACCCCAACAATTTATATCTATCACACACACATTATACGAAGACTATGCATGTCAGGTAATCCATAAAGGAAAACTAACAAACACTTTTACAGTGAAGACATAAGTGAGACATGGATGTATGATTTCGCCTATAATATTCTTGATAACAACGCAGAAGACTACAGGCAACGACACAGGCATCCAGTGAATCTTTACCAACAGGCTGGAGAGTTTTGATTTTGCCGATGACATCATTCTGCCACTATCTCACAAGCATGCACAAACCAAACTTAATCGACTGTCTGAATTGTGACTTAAATTCCACAGAAATTAAAAACAGAGGTCACCAGAAACAGTAACAACTAGGACCTGCCTATAGAGCTTAAAGGAGAAGACTTACGAGAGATAAAAAATACACGTATTTAGGACGTGTGATTAATAATGATGACATAGTTCCACAAAGATAAAAACAGAGCCTTCAGCATTGCTATATTGTCCGGAGACCTGGAGGGTTATCAAGTCAAGTACAGTAATTGTTCAATAACAGATGTTTGCAACAGATCATCAAGATAAGAAGATCAAATGAAGATCTATGTCAAGCCACAAAGCAACAGCCAATCGACAGGGATATTAAAGCCCTCAAATGGGGATGGACCTGGTACTTACTGAGAAGGGGACAGCATCGCGATGCAAGCGTTAAACTGGAACTCCAAGGGGAAAAGAAACGTAGGCCGACCTAAGCATTTACCTGTATCTGAGGTTTACATAAAACACCATGCAATGTATTTTAAGTGGAGCTATGTTAGATTATCGAGCCTCATATCTTAAAATAGATCATTTAAAATAATCACCTCGATGAACATTGAGTAGATTTGTCCAATTAGAAAAGCCACATGCAATCCGGATTCAATTATGACCTCCACTTATTGCCTCGAAGTATCTGTGATGACACGTATCGACCATTAGACCTTGCCCTCGAGTGAACATATTTTACTTTAAGCTGGATTGATAGCTTACCTTGTTAAAATCAACCAATAGAAATGAGCCTCGTTTGATAACGAATATATAAAAGGTGTCTGTAACCAACAATAAAACTCTGTTTTTTAATTGTAATTTAACTTTATACTATACATTAAGTTTTATTTTGCATCAATTAATAATTTTATATATTGAAATCATTTTCTATCGATAATGTTAAAGTAGTTTACAATAAAAGTATATGATGATTTTTTTTAATTTTCTGGTTAACGAAACATTAAATAACTATCTTAAAAATTGCTTTTATGAATAATAAACTATTAAATATATTAACTCAGTGTAATATCGTTTTGCTTTAGAAATAACACAAGCAAATGATATTCTTTAGTATTTTTGCAGCTCCTTAAAATGAAGCTCGTGGTTCTCTTTCTTCTGGTATGTCTTGCAAGTCTCGTGGCTGTATCCGAAAGGTAGGTTACTTCATATTTTTTCAACTAATGTCATTGTAAACAAATTTATTTATTCAAATTTATTCAAATTTATTCAAATTTATTCAAATTTATTCAAACAACGGTTACAATTGTAGGCACAAAGGCCTTTTTTCACATTGGCCGTTTAAACAAATAAAACAATTCAATAACACATAGCAGTAACACATAGCACTAAAAATGTGGAATAAAGAAACAATGGTACATAGTTATCATACACAATGAGATAAAAAAGAGAATATAATAGATGAATGAGAAATGTTACAATGAGTCAGTTAGGTCATTAAATAATTTTAGTTTTAGTTTAGATTTGAATATATTTTCAGATCTAGATAGCTTTATTTTATTAGGAAGATTGTTCCACAAATTAGAACCAGAGTAGGCGAAGCTATGTTTTTGGAAAAAGGTTGAATAAGGGAATGGTAAATTAAGACGACGATTTAATTTTATGTTAAAAGAAAATAGATCTGATAAGTAAGAGGGGGCTGTTTCGTGGAATATTTTATATAAGAAAATTGATTTAGTATATATTATCTTTTTATTTAATGGAAGTATTTTAGTAGTAAGAAAAGAATCCAGACTACTAGACAAGCCAGTAACCAGTTTTATAGCCCTTTTTTGTAAAGAAAGAAGAGGACGCTGCTTATTTATAAAGCTGCCGCTCCACACTACAGAAGCATAATCCAACCTGGATTGAATAAAAGCCTCATAAAAAACCAGCCTGCTCCTATAGTTGAGAAAGTTTTTTATCCTTGCCAATTGAAAGGTTGTCTGTAATAAGGACATTCTTAGAAAATGAATATGGTCAGACCAAGTGAGGTTGTGATCTATAAACAATCCTAGGCATTTGTAACTGTCTACCTGTTCAATGTTTGAATTGTCTATAGTAATGTTTAATGCGGTGGATGGAAGACGAAGGCGTTTCTGATGAGTTGTAATAAACATTGACTTGGTTTTATCGGGGTGAAGTTTCATTTTGTTAAATTTTGTCCAAGTAGCAAGCTGATTGGCACATGTTTGAAGTTTGT